GGATAGATTTGTTTGTTAGAACCGGAGACTCTGGAAAACAGCTTAAAGTAACTTTAAAATAGCAACCAGTGGAATAAACACACCAATGGCACAGGGTGGTCAGCGAATGTGTTGTGAACAGCAATTTATTAAAGAAAATAAAACCCTAGTGACAGTTTTTAGATCCTCATCAAAACACTTTTTGTCTAAAGGCAATATTTTTATAGTTCCTGTTCTCTGGCTCTACATGTGTGTTTCTTTTTAAATAGTCCTTTCAGATGCCCAGGTCCAGCCCAGGAGCTGGTGACATCATCCTGCTCCATAAAAAAGGAATTGTTCAGCCTCCAAGAAAATGGAGCAAGGCCTGCCTCCTCCAGGGATGAGGTGGGGAAGGGACTACCCTAAACCATTATGTGTGTAGCTCTAGATGTGATTTTTTTTCAGATCACTGTCATGCTAGGGGATTTTCCTGTTGAAAAAGGAAGTCCTTTCCAGCAGGCCACCTCTGATGTCTGTCAGCATTTGTGACAGAGACAAAACCCTTCACTTCAGAATGTTCTTAGAACTACCTCTAACCCCAGACCCCCATCCCACTTCCTTTTCTCCTAGCCAATCCTGTCAGCCATTTAGGTTAGGTTGTTTCCTCTGCTTTTTCCCTGATAAAGGATGGAATGGACTTGGTATCCCTACAGGAGAAGATCAATTAAAGAAGAGTTTCCATCCCTGTCTGCCCTCGGGGCCCAGTACCTACCAGTGCTGAGAGTGATGGTTTCCTAGCATGACTTCAAGCATTAGCACAATAAATCATCTGTCTCTTTACTCTTCCATGGATTGCACTGCTGTTTTCTTTGGTTGGTCAAGTGCCTTGTTGCTGGAACCTCAGAGAGGAGGCAGGGAGGGCAAGAAGCAAAAGCAGAGTTGTTTAGCGACACATTTGTAAATATTCATTGAGCGAATATTATGTGCCACATACTATATTCCATACATAGTTGAGCTAATCCAACACTACCCCTGCCCTCCAGACCAGCATTCAGCAAGTAGGTCAATTAAGCAAATCAGTGTTTAAATGAGAACCAAATCGTAATAAAGGATATCTGGGAAGCAGGGGACTTTGATAGAAAACAAATATGCAGGAGGACTTTCCTAGATTATGCATATAGGGAAGGCATGTCTGAGGGGGTAGCATTTGAGTTCAGACCCAACGGACAAGAAGAAATCTATCATGTTCAAAATGGCACACACCAAGAATTCAAGTTTGAAAAAGTAGTGGGAAACTGCGAGGGAGGGGGAGGAGGAATTGGCAGTCATGGGAAACTGCCAGGGGAAGGGCACACCTCATCAACAAGGGTACCTGCATAATGAACATTTGTATACCTAACTCTGAATTGTACCTCACATCTTTAAAAAAAAAAAAAAAAGTTGGGTTAAGGATAGGTTGTAGTGACAAAAAATAAAATAAAGCTTGTGGAAAGGCACAGTGAGGCTGGGGGAAGAGACTTAGGTATGATTCTAAGATGGCAAAGGGTCTCTGCCACCAGAGGAAGTCACCAGGAAAGACCTCACCAGAGAATAAGGCTTCATAAGCCATGACAAGAAATCTGGGTTTCATTTGAAGCACAATGGACCTATTTGGGGGGCTTGGAGTAGGGGAGTGCCAATTGCATTAGTGATGCATGGAACATCCATCTGAGGTGGGTAGGGGCTTGGGTAGGAAGGCTTAGAACAAGGGCCCTTGATGAGTTAGGATGTAACGATGGCAAGAGAGAAGAACAAAGGCCATGAACCAACAGGTATGTGGGAGTCAAAACCGTATCACTTTCAGATGACAAGGTTGTGGGAGGGGTGTCAAAGGTAAGGGTAGGGACTCAAACATGCCACCCAGGGTTCTGAACTGGTCTAATGAGTGAATGATGGAGACATTAACTGTGACAAGGAAGACATGGGAGAAATGGAACCTGTTTTTCATTCATGGGGCATTAGTGGGGGGAAGAACCCAGAATGTAATTTTTAATTGGTTTGAAATGTCTCTGAGACATCCAACCAGAAGTGTCTTGCAGGAAATTTGAGACTAAAGGAAGGAGATGCAAGTTGGGGAGGCCAGTGTGGGAGCCCCAGAGAGAGGCTCTGAAGCCATGAGAAGAAATAGGATCATCTAGGAAGAGAGGGCAAAGGATTAGAGCAGCCAGGGAGAGTCCTGAGGGGCACCAGGCACTGGAGGTCAGGAAGAGATGAATCCCCAAATATTTAATTAAAACCACAAATGTGGATCTCAGTGAAACTCTTCTGTAGGATACTATAGCAGTGGAGATATGACATTAAACATATGTCCAAACCCACAGAATGAACACCACTGAGAGTGAACCCAATATAAACTATGGATTTTAGTTAATACTGACATATCAATGTTCATTCATCATTTATGGCAAATATAACCCACTAGTTCAAGATGTCAATTATGGGAGAAACTGTGGAGGGGCAGGAGTAGGAAGAGCGGGTATATGGGGACTCTCTGGACTTCCTGCTCTATTTTTTCATAAACCTAAAACTGCTCTAAAAAATAAAGTCTATTAATTTCAAAAGAAGAAAGCACAGGCTTTAGGATTTGACTCAAAGAAAAACAAATCAAAAAGGTGTCAGAGGTTTTCCTGAAAAGAAAAAAAAAAGAGCTTAAAAACAATATAGATTTATTTTGAAGAAAAAAGGCATCTTGTCCTTATAAATCTAGTGTATAGCACAGCACAGATCAAAGATTCAAGAGAACCCCTTCGCTTTCTATCGTGGTTCCATAACTTGAAATCTTTCTTAGAGTAAAGGATTTGGGAAGATGGCAAAGAGCATTTTTTATCAATCATAGATCAATGGTAAAACATTGATCTTTTTCTCTATTCAAACCAAAGCACATTTTCAAAGCCCAGGTATTCTGGGATCCATCAATACTAGATTGTAATTTCTACTCAGTACCTTGGAGACTTTTAGAAACCACTTAACTTTTCTGAGACTTTCAATCACCTAGAAAAGGTTGAATACTTATCCCATAGGCTTGCTGTGAAGACTCAAAAGATTTGGCATGCCATAAATTGCACATGCTATAATAATTCATGATAAGGATCTTATTGTTATTAAATACTAGACATTATGCTAAGTGCTTGACAGCCATTATCTCATTTAATCTTTCCAACAACCCTGTCAAAAAAGCATTCCTAGCTCATTGTTAAGATGAGAGAAGACTTGTAGAGGCTTAGTGACTTGCCTAGGATCACACAGCTGATTAGAGGGCAAAAGAGTGAGACCGGAGTTCAGCCTGTTTTCACAAAACTCTCAAACGCCTATATGTAGACCTCCCATATTAGTATAAGAAGTCAACATTGTAGGTAAAATCTTGGGTTTTTTTAATCTCACACTTACATTGCTAAATTATGTCAGAGTGTTCTGCTTCAGCAATCTTATTTTGGTGTTAATATGTCAGTAAGTTATAAAGTAGCCTTAACTGGGGTGAAATAAAGATGAAAAGCACTGGTTTTCCTCACTAAGATTCAAAAGAAAACAATCACTCCTTGATTCTTTCTGCATTGTCTCAAAAAAATAAAAAATAAAAAGATAAAATGAGCTTCAGACCTTCTAAACCTATGACCACTGACCTCCATCTGCACCTGGTGGTCCAGATAACCATGGGGAGTGTATAGCTGTCTTTCCCTGGGTCTAACTCACTCCCTCTTGGCTGTATGGAAGTTCATTGCTATTGATGCAAAAGCCTATCTGGTCCCCAGCACTTGTCCTGTGGTTGAGATAAGAGTAATTACACTGAGTCTTTCATTTTACATCATTATATGAATTTATATAATTCACTTTAAAGTGTTATTTAATGTGTTCAAGGAAAAAATTATTGGATGGTGGGAATTTGAAAAATAACAATAATTCTTTTTGGGGGGGGTTGGGGTCTCACTCTGTCACCCAGGGTGGAGTGTAGTGGCATGATCATGGCTCATTACAGCCTCGACCTCCTGGGTTTGGGTGATCCTTCCATCTCAGCCCCCCACCATAGCTGGCACAACACCACCACACCTAGCTAATTTTTTTGTATGGACAAGGTCTCACTTTGTTGCTCAGGCTGGTTTAGAACTTCTGGGCTCAAACAATCCTCCTGTCTCAGCCTCCCAAAACACTGGTATTACAGGCATGAGTCACTACACCCAGCCAATAATTAATATAGAAATAATTCACTTTTTAAAATTTTCTTTTCCCAAGAATGTAATTCTTGATGAATCCATAAAACCTTAGTAGAGGGAGACCTTATATTTTATCATGGGGTATCTACTTTAGCTGTTCTCATAAAATCCCATTGAGAAAACAGTTTACAAGCTCTACTTGAGCTGCGTAGACACATGGTTGTGAGTAGGCACTAGTTTAAATGAATGGCATCTCTCTCTCTCTCTCTCTCTCTCTCTCTCTCTCTCTCTCACACACACACACACACACACACACACATTCTCTCTCTCTCTCTCTCTCTCTCTCTCTCTCTCTCTCTCTCTCAGTATCTTTCCTAGGGGTTTTTCTGTTTTTGTCATTTTATTGCTCTGAAACTAAATTGAATCTATTTTCCAGATCATTTAGTGAATTGCAGGGCTCCAAATCAAGGAATTAAATATTGGTTCTTCACAGAGACACCAAGTTTCCCAGACTGGAAGGAAGGGAGGAAGAGAGGGAGGAAAGGAGGGAGGGAGGGAGGGAGGGAGGGAAAGGAAAAGAGGAGAGAGGGAGAGAGAGAAAGAGAAAGGGAGAAAGAAAGAAAAGCAGACAAAACCCTTATTTAACTCTGGTACACTCTGAAAAGTCAAATCACTAGGAAATGCAGCAGAAATAAAATGAATAAATAAATAAAAAGCCTAACAGGAGGCAGGAGAACAAGGGGCCACCTTATACTGTGGCCAGCAGAGGCATTCAAACATTTCGTCACCAGGATTCCAGCCAGCCTCCGAAGCTCACTTTTATAAGCTGGTCCCTGGGCTTTCCAGAGTAAGATGTGGCTGTGCAGTCTGCTTGCTCCATAGTTGTTTCAGAGGGGCTGGCAAAAGCGGCCCAGCAGGCTTGCCTGGGAGCCATGGCAAAGAATGGACTTGTAATCTGCATCCTGGTGATCACCTTACTCCTGGATCAGACCACCAGCTACACATCCAAATTAAAAGCCAGGAAGCACAGCAAACGCCGAGTGAAAGGTAACAGGGCTCCTCAGTTCAGCAAAATTCTAAGTGAACTCAGTAAGGGGAGGTGCTAGACAATGTCCATTTCTAAACTGCTCCAGGAGACTGTCCCTGGTGACAGTACCATGCTATCACATCTATATGGCATTTCATGGAACTGAGTGACCTTTTAATTCTCTGGGAAAGTTTGACATCTAATTAATAGTATGGTTCTTTGTTTTGTTTTTAACAGAGGGAAAAAACTTGATGATGCAAAAAAATGTCTACATTGTATAATTTTTGTCAGGTGGTCTTAGATATGCAGAATGTGTTTCAGAGGGAGCCCACCTGGATAGGTGAACATGTGGTATTTTGAATGACGGGGCAAGCAGAACATATTGATTAACAGAGTACGCTGTTTCACTCGTAGATACCGAGTATTTCTTATCAACTATAATCAGATAATACATAACTAGTGGTAATTGCAACTTACTTTTTTGTTGTTAGTTAACATGTAAGTATATTTCCATATCCCTGGCAGTATAAGGACAGTTGATATCATACATTTAAATTTTTTCATATAAACAGGAAAATCAAACCTCTCTTTAACATAAAAATACATCAGCATGCCAAGTCATACAATGTTTAAAGGCATTTTGATGCAAAATTGAATCTTAAGCAATCCCAAATTTTGAGTAGCTTGAATTGGGCTAACAGGTTAAAAAAAATTGCAAAGAACAAAGGTGATGGCAATTTATTTGCAATATGCTAAAACCAAAGCAAAAGAAAAAAGCAAGATACAAGGTGATATTTTATCTCATCCTCTGAGTCAATTTCATATCAGAAAATCTCGATGTAAAATTATGGTGCCATTTCCTTGTGAATTTCACTTCGTTAGTAACAAAACACAAAACGATACCAGCAAAGTTAAAGTATAATTTGACAGGACACACACACCTGGTAGGTAAAAAAGGGGGACTTGTTTTGTTTTCATGATTATAAAGTACCCTTTTTCCAGGAGCATATATTTATAAAATTTAGATTTGGTGCAAGATTTCTTAAGTGGAATCTTTTTTCTGATAAAATATTTATACTTCTCTCCTAACAAAAGATAAAAATATTTCTCATGAGTAGATGAAGCATATAGCTGAAGACGAGGTCAAGGGAAAGAGGGAGAGAGAAGATACCGAGTGATGTGGCATGTTTTTGTTGCCAGCATTTCTCTGCCACTGGGAGGAAGTAGCAAAACATTGACCACCCAGTGAGGATGTGTGGAGGGGGTATGAATTGTGCATGTGTCCATGTGTGTGTACTGTGTGGATCTTTCTGAGATACTTACAGTTTAGATCATATGCACGTTATCTAGGTGACTCCCTTTCACAACCACTCCTTTCTCCCCCTTCTCTCCTCCATAACTACATATACAGACACACACTTTTTTTTTGTTTTTCTGACTGGGTATACACATCTTAAATGTCATCTCCCAAAACAGTTTTTGTTAATTTTTATCATTAAGTCTAAAAAAAAGAATATTCTACAGTAGGTAAAGCAATAAACCAAAACTTGTTAAGCAGTTCTTTCCCCACCCACCCATGTACTTTTAAAATATTTTTTTAAGTGTCATTATTTTTTAACTTTTGTACAAATGGGGTCTCACTATGTTGCTCAGGCTGGTTTCAAACTCCTGTCCTCAAGGGATCCTCCTACCTCAGCCTCTCAAAATGCTGGGATTACAAGTGTTAGCCACCATACTCATTATTTTCATATAATGCCAAGTTTATGAGGTCAAAAGTGAAAACCATCTTCCCTCTCTCCCAATTTTCATCATAGCATTATCCACTATTAATTATTCAGTAATTTCTTTAGTGCACAATTAAGATGAGTATTTTTTAAAAGGTAAGGATTGGCTATGCAAAAATGTTTGGCAGGCAAGTGAATTTATTTCATCTATTAAATCTTGGATTGTTATCAATGCAAGGTATACCTTATAATTTTTAACAGCTGAATAATATTCCATTGTTTGGATGGATCATGATTTAATCTAATCTCTCTTGATGAGCTTTGTGTGAACTTTCTAATACATCTCATTTTGATTCATTACCCCAAAAGAACTACTTTGGACACATATATTGATCCCCATGCTAGGGTGTTATAATATATTTCTAGAAGTAAATTTGCAGGTTAATCATACTTTTTAATTATCTCTTCAAGTGGTAACAGTCCACACTCTTATCTTCAGCATATGGGAATGCCCATTCCCACAAACCTTGACAACTCAATGTCATATAATGGTTTTATTGGTCATTTCTTCTGGGAATCATTTTTCCATTTCTATACCTTTTCTATTTCTGGAGAGTAACAATAATAAAATGAAAGGAAGCCTTCTTTGGGACTTAAGATGGCAATGGAATGATTTAGGGCCAAACACAAGATTTCCCTGGTACTTATTTCACAGGACTCAACAATTTATGTGCTGCATTAATAAGTAAAATATAATTTTTACAGTGAAATATTGTTCGATGCATTCCCTTTGTTCATTGCAGACAAAACACACCCACAGAGGATGGAAGCCAAAGCCCAGTCACCTGGATAATTACTTCCATAATGATCTCCCAGGGGACTAATATTAATTCATGTGTATTCATGTCAATTACAATGTTTACAATTCCGGTGGAGGCCACTTATTTAAAGAGAATGAAGCAGAAGCTGTCAGGGATGGGCATGACATTGGTGGAGCTGACAATTTGTCACTTGGAAGCAAGTCTTCAGCAGCCCTTGCAAGTCAGGTTTCCAATAGCTGATGGTTTTGCATCCTGAGTACACTGACATATTTATTCTGAATTGAAGGCTCCCATCAAGAAAACTCTTGGGTAATTGTATTTCTGAGCTTAGCTATTAAATGCTTTGAGAATTGATGTATGACATTAAGTGAAATAGAGGTGAGGGCTACCCCTGGATATCCCAGAAGACATTTTCCTAACCTAAACATGGGAACGAACACCTGGCTTGTGAAGCACATGTGAATTAGCTCATATAGATTTGATTGTCATTTTAAAAATACATTACGGGTTCTTTATATGGCATCCCCACAAAGAAGTAACTAGGGATAGTTCATATCAAGCTTCAAGCATCTTCTCTGTCTGGGGCCATGTGCCAGGGACCAAGGGAGCAGAGGCCATCACTGTGCAGAAGCAGATCAAAGGAATTGGAAGGGAACAGGCTTGGAGTCAGGGAAACCCAAATCTCAACTCTGCACCTTACAAATGGGGTGATTTTGGTAGGTGAATTCAGCTTTCTGTACCTCTATTTCTTCTGTCAAATGGAGACAATGACAGTGTCTGTCTCATAAGAATTAATCTCTAGATAGTCTCTATATAATGGCTTATTTTATATATGTATATATATATATATATATTTTTTTTTTTTTTTTTTTTGAGTTGGAGTCTCACTCCATCGCCCAGACTGGAGTGCAGTGGCATGCTTATGGCCACCCCAGCGTCCAACCTGCTGTGCTCAGGCAATCCTTCCACCTCAGACTTCCAAGTAGCCAGAACTACAGGTGTGTGCTACCACACCCAGATAATTTTTTGATTTATTGTAGAGATGAGGTCTCACCAAGTTGCCCAGGCTCTTCTTGAACCCGTGAGCTCAGGCAATCCCCTCACCTCGGTAATATAGTTATCATACTATTTATTTTTGTTTACAATTCCTGCCTCTGAAAAGTTCACAAGCTGTCAGTCTTTAAGAGAATCTTCATTAGATCTGAAATTTTGATTCGACCAAGGTAGCTGATTTTCTGCCACTTATTTATAACCAAGTTTAGTCAAGAAGAGTCATAAAGACTATTTAGCCACATTCAGGTACATTAAAGACCAAATAAACGACTAATATCTAATATCTATGTATGTTTACATGGCCCTTTATTACTTAATCCTGTAGGAGCCACCCTATCTGAGTCATAGGTTACTTAGGGATACTGAGAACAGGCACTTAGGGACACAAATAAGTCTGGATGTGAGTTCTGCCACTTATCTGCCACGTCATTTCCCTCACTGAGCTCATCCTCATTCTTCAGTGTGAATCTCCTTTTTCTCTTTTCATGACTATTTTTTGCAGAGCAATCAAAAATGACCTAAAAGCATTTTGTAGTAAACACCATAAAGTATGCATTCACTCAACAAATATAATGAGCACCGATTATGTGCCAAGCATTATGCTAAGCATCAGAAATACCACAGACAGATGAAATAAAGTGAATAAAGTAAAATATAGAATTGAGAAAGTACTCTGAAGAAAAACATACAGGTTTCAAAGAAGGAGACTAGCAGAAGGGATTCTAAAGTACGGAATAATCAAAAAAGTCTTCTCAGAAGAGAAGTTAAGTTTGATAAGAATACAAGCAAGAGCTCAGACAAGAAAAATCCAGGCAGAAAAAACACACAGGAAAGGTAAGACAGAGCTTACTCTGAGACGAGTCTGAAAGTCAACAAGCCTGAAACCACAGGATGGGACTGTTGAGATACAAAAGGGCCCCATCTTACAGAAGGATCTCCCAGCGTTATCATCTCTACCAAGCCCTTATGAATTTTCTTGCCTAAGTTATTTTCACACACTATTTTTCATTCACACTGGTTTCAGTTTCATCAAAACCACCATTGCCTTGAATTCTACATGCCAAAGCTTTATTTTATTTTAATCATATGCCTTTCATTCTATCTACCCCATCCCACCCTATAATTTCCCCCCAGAAAAGGAAGGAGATCTGAAGACTCAAGTTGAAAAACTCTGGAGAGAAGTCAATGCCCTGAAGGAAATGCAAGCCCTGCAGACAGGTGAGACCCCACCTCATCAATGTCTTTCCTCAAAGACGATAAGAAAACAAATGGTCATCACCAATGGTTTCAAACCATAGCTAGACTACATGTCGAGTTCTGGGTGACGTCTTTTTAAAAGAAACATTGAAAAACCAGAGATGTGTTCAATGAGAGGACCCAAAAGCTGGGAAATGATTGTTTTGGGAAATCAACTTTTGATTTACTACCCATTTCTCCTGTAAATGGGTGATATAGAAATAGAAATAGGTAGTTTCAGTTATCCATCACAGACACAAAAAACTGAGTACCACACGTTCTCACTCATAAGTGGACCCTGAACTTTTATCATAATACCACAAAAAAGGGATTGGCAGTAGCAGAACGCTGCCTGGGAGGGGGTGGAGGCACATAACATCAACTAAAACAGGTTCACAGAACTCACTTCACACTCAGTATCAGATGCTGGAAGGACATGTGTTAGAACCACCACTTGCCAAGAGGGCAGTGTCACCATTTCTTTCCCATGGAAGTCAAGCTCCTGACGGCCTAGACAGCCATATACACTACTGTTCAGGGGCTATTTATTTTCTAAGGGGTGAGAAAGTTAGAGTGACCACCTTTGACAGGTTCGGGAACATCCTTAGTGTACAAGGCTTATACCCCCAGGAGCCAGAATTGTTTGGAGCAACACCAAAAGCAGAGTGTCAAGGTCCCCACCACAGGTCTGCCAAATACAAGTTACCACCTTCAGGGAAAATGGAAGTTTTCCATCAAGTATTTATAACTCCCAGGCTGGATGTATGTTACAAATCTGGAGTCATTTTTACCATAAGCCAGGCTGCCTAGTAACAAGGTGACATATTGCCTTTAACAGGTTTCCAGGGGAACAGAATCAGAAAGTTATTAAGGAATGTCAAACGCTCATGCACAAGAGGAGTTTCATTAACACTTTACCCACAGTTGGGCATTATAAATTCGTTATAAACATTGACACGTGAATCCTCCAACAACTGATACTTAATATTCAGCTTATGTTGACTTCTTCAACAATTTATGCTATCATGATAATCTTCATGTTATAAATGAGGAAACTAAGACAGAGAAATTAAGCAATCTGTTCAAAATGTACACAGCCAGGTATGGTGGCTCCTGACTGCAATCCCAGCACTTTGGGAGGCAGAGGTGAGAGGATTGCCGGAGTCCGGGGGTTTGAGACCAACCTGGGCAACTTGGTGAGACCTCATCTCTACTATAAATTAAAAAAAAAAAAAAATTACCCGGGCATGTTGGCACATGCCTGTAGTTCAGCTACTCAGAAGATTGAGGTGGAAGGATAGCCTGTGTCCAGCAGGTTGAGGCTGCGATGGCTGTGAGGGTCCCACTGCACTACAGCCTGGGCAACAGAGTGAGATTCTGACTCAAAAAAAAAAATGTACACAGCTAATTACTGTCAGAAATGAGACAAACCCAGGCACTATGGCCCTTGAGTCTGAATCTCCAGAGCTGTGCCCTAAAACTATCTTATTTTATTTTTATTTTATTTTTGAGTCAGAGTCTCTGTCACCCATGCTGAAGTACAGTGGCACAATCATGACTATTGCAGCCTTGACTCATAGGGATCAGGTGATCCTTCTGCCTCCGCATTCTATGTAGCTAGAATCACAGGCGTGCGCCACCATACCCAGCTAATTTTTTTTTATTATTTATTGTAGAGACAAGGTCTCGCCAAGTTGCCAAGGCTGGTCTTGAATCCCTGAGCTCAGGCAATACTCTCGCCTCCACCTCCCAAAGTGCTGTGATTACAGGAGTGAGCCACCACACAGGGCCCTTAAACTATCATTAAGTTTGGTTACCCTGGATAACCTAAACAATGTTACCAGGGCTTAGTTATCTGCTTAAGAAAACCACTGTCTCTCCACATGCAAGCCCAAACTTTTGCTTTTATTTTTTAATAAATATGAAAGACCATCCAATTCTAAAAGTCTCCCCAAAAAACTCAGCATTTAATGGAGATATGCAAACTAGTAGGCATGTGTATATCAAAGTAACATGAGGTTTGAGGTCATGTTTCGAGGGTAAGGCTGTTCTGGTTTTGTATAGTTGTGATCTCACATGCTATGTAAATTACTTTTTTTACATGCTAAGTTATTATAAGTTACAATTTCTCTAATCTTCAATATCCTGATAGTTAAAAATATGGGTAATAAAATACCACTTCATGGGGTTATCATGATCATTATATGACTTAATTTATGCAAAGTGCTTAACACTGTGTCTGGCACATACAAAATTTTGAGTAAATGCTAACTCATCACTATCAACATACGTTATTCATCCCACAAATATTTATTGCTATGTGTCAGGTCCAGTCCTGGCATGATGCACTCAAAAAGCATCTTACTATGTTAAATTTTGTATCTTCACAGTCTGTCTCCGAGGCACAAAAGTTCACAGGAAATGCTACCTTGCTTCAGAAGGCTTGAAGCATTTCCATGAGGCCAATGAAGACTGCATTTCCAAGGGAGGGATCCTGGCTATCCCCAGGAATTCTGATGAGATCAATGCCCTCCGAGACTATGGTAAAAGGAGCCTGCCAGGTGTCAATGACTTTTGGCTGGGCATCAATGACATGGTCACAGAAGGCAAGTTTGTTGATGTCAATGGAGTCGCCATCTCCTTTCTCAACTGGGATCGTGCCCAGCCTAATGGTGGCAAGCGGGAAAATTGTGTCCTGCTGTCCCAATCAGCTCAGGGCAAGTGGAGTGACGAGATCTGTCGCAGCAGCAAGAGGTACATATGCGAGTTTACTATCCCTTAACAGACCTTTCTCAAATGTGTCTTCCAAGCAAGATCAGTCATGATTTCTAGGTTGATGGTCTTCAAGAATAAGTCAAAATTATAATAATCAGTTGCAAAATTACAACACGGGAGTCAATGTCCATGACAATAAAACAGAGTCAGCCCATTTTGCTACCACATTTCATTGTGATTTAGCTCCCCATGGGGCATAGAGGATCAGAAAATAATGATCCAGTCATGTACGTACTGTTAAAATGGCTTCTGCAAAAGAGACTTTCAAATCTTTCTTTCCTAGTCCCTCTGACTTGTATAAACCTGGTCTGTTATAAAAACACAATAGCCATGCATCTCTTCATTCTAGAAATGCAAGCTTAGGCTACCTAGAAGATCTTCTCTTGAAAACTTAATACATATTTGATTGATAAGAATTCCCTAAATCAGAGATACATAATCCAAAATTTTTTCCAACCGATTGCTCAATCTGTTTCATCATGGCAATAATACCTTGTTGACCCATTACCCTTTCTTTGTGTTGTTGCATCTCCTGGTGAGGCTTATATCTTGCTTGCCACATCAGAACACAAATGTCTGAAGAGGTTCTGATTTAACTCTTTTTTTCTTCAAGCCCTCCATCCTTTTTATTTGTAAGTTCCCAGTTACTATTTAAAAGAAAATGACAAGGCAGTATATTTGATCAATTTTCACTCTTAGCATCACATTATGACTTTTTACTTAACTGGGTAACTCTAAGACAGAACAAGAATGCAAACTGCACGGGAAAAGGAAACAGAAAAAAAAGTCTACATTTATTTTGCCTTAGCATTCTTATTTTTTTAAAAATGAAATTGAGGGTAGATATTACATATATTAGTTTTCTATTTTTACATTCTTTATATACTTATATATATTTTCAATCATTATTATATATAAATCCATTAGGAATAACCTGTCTTTGGAAGTTGAAAATTGGATTTAAATAATTCTAATTTGGAGTCATACATGTATATAATTTTCTTATTCTGTCAAATGCTATTCCCATTAAATTGTTTATCTAGATTGTATAAAATAACTTAATTGCTTAATATTAAATTATTAAGTTCAGGCTTGGGGAAAATAGGCTTTTTAAAAGCAAGCCATTCTAAACATATTCTGTTCTTCAAATATATTTTTCTTTCTTTAAATGTTGAATATGTTTTGTAAACATTATCCTGCTCTGCAATCTTTAACTACAAGTGCTTGGAATTAAGTTTTAGTTATTTTCATTGTACAAGAATAAAGCCTGAATTCTGATCAATGTGAATGTGTTCTGATGTTGATTACAATCATTCAGACTATGTTGGTTTATATTAAAGTTGAAAGAGTTTGGGAGGAGTGGAGGAAATGCCCTGGATTTAATCAAACTGGTAATGCAGATATAATCAGAGAACAATTTTACCTGGCAATAAATAAGCATGGTTCAGCAAGAAAGGGAGAACTTTTTTAAAAACTGTAACTGCAATTATATTTGGTTGACATTGGCCAACTCCCTACTCCAACATAACTATAGTTTCCTTAACAATAATGTCAATAATGAAATTAGTAGACATTAATGAGTAATGCATTCTACTCACATCCCAGGCACTGTGCTACATTTTATATATCCATTTTATCTTCTTCAGAACAATCCTGAGAATTAGACCCTAGAATTATTTCATATTACAGAAGAAAAAAATAAAAAAGAGACATATGATGAATTGCCCTAAGTATATCAGTAAGTGGTGAAATTGGGACTAGAACCCAACAAACTGACTCAAATACTACACCCTTAGCAACTATGAAGGAGCTATGACAGGTGAAGACTGTTTAGACTGGTGATGGGAGTAGAGTCCAATCCATTTCTCCATTTTTTCATCTGAAGTAATAGTCTGGGCAAATAGATGACCCTGAGAAGGCATTCATCCTGAGGCTACTTCACAGAGAAAGGCGTTTCCTTCCTCCCTTTGCAAGGACTGGATAAAGACAACCAATATTCACACAAATTGTTGTTATAATACGGGAGTACAGAAGATGGGGCTAGATAAGGTCATCCATCTCAAAAGACCCCAACCAGAGGGAGCAAGAGAAGTTAATTCAAAGGAATAGGTGAAAGTTAGTAAGGGGGAAAAAAATCAAGATTCTTTAGCAAGACAAAGAACAGATTATGGGAAACAGCAAAACTGGAAGAAATGGATTAAGAGATTAACTGATTTGCCCTGGATCAGATTCATGATCTTGACTTTACTATTTAGCCAACAAGTCAACCAAAAGCCACACCAACAAGATTCACTAACCTAGACTTCTCTTTGGTCTATTTTACCTGTATGGCCAGTATTTAGCAAAACTGATCTTTAGGCAGTAGTGATAAATAGGTTTCAACTCTCAGGACAACTCTTATGTATCCGTGAAAGCAATCTGGACTGCAGTGTAGAGAAACATCATGAAGTTTAGTGGAAAGAGTGACATAAGCAATTAGTAATGTCTCACACAAATTCAAGGCAAGAGGTCCTTGACACTTGTATCATGTAAGTATCATCCCTAGGGCAAATGCCTGACTTCCCAAAGATGTGAGTTATATTCAAAACCCAAATAGTCGAGGCCCTGCAAGCTTTACCAGGAAGCTTATTCTAATCTTTAGAGCAGTGTTTCTTGAATTTTTACATGCCTCCACATCACCTGAGGACCTTGTTAAATTGAAGATTCTGTAGTCTGGGCTGATTCTAACAAGCTTCCAGTGAATACCAAGTCTGGGGTGCAGATCAGCAAAGTTCTAAAGTTTTAGCTGCTTGGCCAGATACCTACTGTCTCTGACTGTAGCAGCTTTACTTCTTTTGAGCACAAAAGTCAAGGGTAGGATTTACATTGTATCTGAGTAAATAACAATATGGAGAGTAATTTTTCTACCTATCAAAGATGTTTTCATGCACATCAAGTGAGGTAACAAGTAAAAATCAAGTTAAAGGAAACACCAATAAGACAGATTCAGTTCCAATTAGTGTTTTGAAGGAGAACTGACTTATTGGAAGGCTCAATGGGTCCTTTCTCGTCCCTAGTATTACTGAAGAGCATTTCTTACATAAAAATAAAGATATATCATTTGAGACCAGAAATTCAAGGCTGCAGTTCGCTGTGATCACACCTGTGAGTAGCTGCTGTACTCCAGCCTGGGAAACATAGTGAAACTACCATCTCATAAAACATATTTTTAAAAAATAAATGAACAAAAATTTTAAAATAAAGACAAAAAAGACTTTCCTGCTCTCAGATTAATGAGAACTTTTATATTATCACCAAAAAAGTTACGTCTAACAAATGAAGTCCATAAAATTTAGTCTTTAGGACAAACAATAAATCATATCAAATTCTAGCAAGTTAAGTATCTCTTTAATCTGATGCAAGAAATTCAAAGGGTATCTATTAACTGTAAAGTACTATGCTTGGTAATATGGATAGAGAAAGTAAATTACAGCAAGCAGGATGAGAGCAAGATGATCTATTGGCATCTACAAGCTCTAATTACATATGGCAGTTAAGTGGACTAACGACTATCTAATTTCTGCTAAACTGACACCCACAAAATGGAAAATAAATTCCTGCATAGGAAATAAAAGTTGAATATACACTTAAAGCCCATAAACACATGCATACATGCAAGCAAGTATAGCTGACACTTCTAGTCCTGGGGTGGCTGGCCCAGAGAGCCATCCATAGCCCAAGCAGAGTCAATCTAATTCTTTTCCAGTGGTTGACATCTGGACACTAGGAGCAATGAAATACTTTCTCCGGGACATGCTAGATTAAGACAAAGTAATTTTCAGGCTTCTAGCAAAATTCTTCCCTCCTGAATGCATGCAATGTGCAGAATGAAGCAAAACAAAGGCAAGCAGGGACGAGAAATGAGGGGAAAAGAATGGAAGGAAGTGAGGGAAGAAGAGGAAGAAAGAAGGAGAGAAAATGTATGTGTTCATGTCATTCTTAGTCTATCATTTCAAATCCCCTAAGGGCCTGATTTCTATTTTTGCCAATTCTATGAGCTATCCCACAATTCCTCCAAACTACACAAGACAACTTCTCTTTTTCTTTTCCTTTTTTTTTGGAGTCAGAATCTCACTCTGTCACCCAGGCTGGAGTGCAGTGGCACGCTCGCGGCCACCACAGCCTCAACCTGCCAGGCTCAGGCGATCCTTCCACTCCAGCCTTCCAAGTAGCTGGAACTACAGCCATGTGCCACCATGCCCAGCTAGTTTTTTGATTTACTGTAGAGATGAGGTCTCATCAAGTTGCCCAGGCTGGTCTCAAACCTTGGGCTCTGGCAATCCTCTTGCCTCAGCCCTTCAAAGTGCTAGGATTACAGGTGTGAGCTACTGCACCTGGCCAACTTCTCCTTTTCATTTGACCTTGTTTGAGTTTATATATCAGCCAGGATAGGCTAGGTTATGATACAGTAATAAGCTCAAAACCTGAGTGGCTTGGAATAGCAAAGGTCAATTCTTCTCACTCATTTTCACATCTATTGTGCCCTGAAAGGAATTCTGTTCTACGCCCTGTACACTCTGGAACACAAGCTAATATAGGAACAACTATGTAGAATGTGTCATTCTCTACAGCAGAGGAAAAGAGACTCTGGAGAGACAAAAACCATTAAGTGATCTGATACAGAAATAGCAAATGTCCTTTCCACTCTGGAGAACTTTGAGTGCAATTCTACCATGTGCTGGGGGAGGAGGGGTGTGGGGAGCTTGAATATTTGGTGGCCAGCATAATGCCTTTCACAGTTGGGTTTCTGTCACTGGCAATCAGAATAAATCTGATTAACACAAACTGTGAAGAGAAATGAGACTAGAGAGACCTGTAATCCAACTGAAAGAGAATGCAGGTTCATAGAGATAAGAAGAACATAGTAGCAGAAAAGGAGCTCAAAACTGGTCAGTGGAGGTTGAGTCCGTAGCTTCAAAAACTAGAAGTCAGTGATCTACAGAAAGAAATATGAGGAGGATCCCCCAAAATAGAATTTTTTTTTGGAGGGCGGGTCTCTTGTAGTACAGGTTTCCTCTGCTAGGTGAGTGTTTTAGAAACCTATCAGCATCAGTGTACTGACTAGTGTTG